CCACTGCGGCGGCCGTGGTCCGCGACAACTCCACTGCGGCGGCCGTGGTCCGCGACAACTCCACTGCGGCGGCCGTGGTCCGCGACAACTCCACTGCGGCGGCCTCAGTTAAACATGTGAAGGTTGGCTCTGCAAAGCGTGCAAGAAGATGGGCATCTGGACTTAGAACCCTACACTAACTGTCTCCTTGGCCACACTAAGAGGGAAAGTAGGGAAAATTTATGAGGAACCATGCAAGAGTTAATCTTCTCATGTCTGCATGTACCTGCTTTTATCTCTGGTTTGAATAAAACTTTTAAATTGCATTTTTGTGTGTTTCTTTTTTCCACCCTTAGAATTTCAGTTTGTTATCAAATTTTCTATTATAATGTGACTGATGTACATTAACTGTACATTTATACTTAGCCTTTTCTCAAATAAGATTCAGATAGTATGCATCAATCTCTTAACCACTTTTGCTTTGCTGTCAAAGATTTTACCTTCCAACAGTGCTTGTAGGGGTTGAACTGAATGTGCTGCCACCAGGATATTAACCATAGAGATCAGGGGTTCTCAACTGGTCTCACCCTGGGACCCATATTTTCCCATGGTCATTAAGTTGCGACCCAATTTTTTTTTTTAGAATTCGCTATATTTTTTCTGTGCAACATGCATTTCAGAGCATATAACCTTGCATAGTAACTGGACCATGACAACTGCATGTACAAAACTGCACAAAATAAGGCCACAAAACAACATATTTTCACTCTATTTTGAACAAATTAATAAACTGAGGACCATGACAACTGCATGTACAAAAGTGAATTAAAATAAATGTCAAAACTACTTGAAAATAAAGTTTTGGCCTAATCAGGTCATTTGTTGAAGTTAATGAGGCAGTTGGGTACGTGCTCTACTCTTGACTAGAGTTTCAAAGTCTGGGGTGACAGTAGACAGAGCTACTCTCAGATCATGCTCAGTGTCCAACCTGCTTCTCTGCTTAGACTTGAGCTGGACCAAGGTAGAGAAGCCACTGTCACTAAAAACAGGTTGAACTGAATGGTAAGATTGTTTAACTGTGGCGAGGGATGGATACTCAGCCATCACATCTTATTTTTCGGAGGGTGGGGGTGCCGAGCATTCGGCCCGACCGACGGTTACACTGCTGTATCGGTGGTAGTGGTGGCTAGTTTTTTTCAAAATAAAAAAATAAGTCCAACCTGAGACACACATTTATTTAATTTTGATTAGCTGTCCACGACCCACCCAGAACAGGTCCGCGACCCACTTTTGGGTCGCGACCCACCAGTTGAGAACCCCTGATATAGATCACGTGGCACAAGTCTTGTGAGAATGTTTAAAGTATCTCCAGCCTTAACATTTAAATCAAATGTACATAATTAAAATATCTGCAAATAACTTATGCTATCTTAAGGCCAATTCATGGTTTCTGTTTGTCTGTGCAGGCTGATAGACTGTAGTCATAGCTGTGTTCATACTTCAACCAAATTTTGCCAGTCAGCCACATGGCTGGCTGCATTAGCCCTCATATCAAACACATATCTATGGTGAAACAGCAGCTGCTTGCAGACTGGGATGCATCAGTGATTATTCCACAGGTGTGATGAGCAGTGTGTGTGACCACAAACGAGGCTCCTTTGAAGACCAGCAATTTAAACTTAACTATGAATTTCAAAGGTGCAGATGACTGAGATATTCCTTTTACAGTCTCAAGTACCACTTGTTTTTCTGGCACATACACAATCTGTGCATGTGTAGTGCAAACAGTCACACATTCACAAATTTTGGGCTGCATGAGACCTGGGTGGATGATATATATGCCACACATACCCGTGCAGTCACGGAAAGCACGAGTTGGCCTTTGAACCAAACGTAAAATAATTTAAATGGAAAACTGTTCTGTTTCAATATCCCTGTCACTAAGGGATGAGAATAACAATTAAGAATATCGTAATCTAAGCTGCCAACGAAGGATAGATGTTTAAATTACAACAATAAGAAATTGAGCAATAAGACAGGAATCAACATAAGTCACTTTTATTTTCTAGAAAACACATTAAAGATGTTAAATGCCATAATATGAAGTGTAAAAACATTTCAGTCACCACAAAGTTTTTCTTGTCACAGACATCCAATGCACAAATTCTATAGTAATGGCATCTAATAGAGTTCTGTTTTTCAGTGCAACAGGTCTGTTTGTCAGTCTTCAAGTGTTTTGGTTTGATATTGTAGAACAAGGTAACAACTGAATGACAGAGACAAATAAATCTGGGTAAAAAACAGGCCTTAGAGGCATTTAATGTGTACCATGTGTATATTATGAATTACTTCCATGATGATATCTTCATAATCCCATTTCTATTGTGTCGCCATTGTTGTCAATCAATAAGGTCCCCGTTGATACTGTAACCAGTGCTGTTATTTTTAAACTGCAACAAGTATTCAGTGTCCTGTGTTCACTTGTAAACACTTTGTGACCTTCAGTCATGTCCAAGCCACCTGCAGCATTTCCTCCACAGTCAGTACTTTTTCTCTGGGTTTTCCACAGGCCTCACCCCTACTCATCTCCACATTGTCAATCTTCTCCCAGTCTGAGAAAGTAACCGGTTTTATTCCTGCAGATGAGAAAATACAAACCACATTTGGCCATGGCTTTGAAATCTGACAAAAAAGATTACGTATATGTTCTTATCTGAACTTTTAAATACGATTCAGGCCATACTGACGGTCGAATTTTTCTGGGACAGTGTTTTTTTTTTTTTTTTTTTTAAATTATTATTCTTTTCAACCACAATTCAAAAGCAATGTCTTATTTCACTAAATTATAATTTCACACATTTCTATTTATTATTACTTTTTTCACTTCCTAGTTATTTAAGTGACGATTGTGAATTTTGCCTCTTCTCTATTGGAAGGGTATGAATACATTTGAGGACGACTGTATGACCATAAAGCACTTGTCCATGCAAGGTTATAAACAAGACAGCAACTCAGAAGACAAATCACAGTGGTGGTAAGTCTGACTCCACTGGCTCCTCAGATTAGTGTTTAGATAACAGGGTTTGGAAAGAGGTTGTAAAACAGCCAAAAGGACAATAAAGTACCTCTCTTTTCTAGCAGTGCACTGATGCTTTTTGACCCAGGCTTGGCAGCAGATACATCCAGTGATCCAGAGTCCATGTCCTCCATCACAGATCTGGCAGTGTCGAAGCTGTTGTTCATAGTGGTGGCTATCACGCCTGTGGGGCCCGTTTTCAGCCAGCCGCTACAATACAGACCTACAGGGACATACAGATTTACTACACATTTTCAGTTCATGTGAAATTGTCCTCTGTAGTATTTACTGTATACCTGCAGTTTGCTGAACTCGCCCCATGACGTTTGGGACGATGGCTTTGCGGGAGTCGAACGGCACTGAAGGGTCGATGGGGAGGCTCTTGTAGCCGATGCTGCTCACGACCAGGCCACAGGTCACATCCTCCACTTCTCCAGTGAGCACAGCCTGGGCTCCCTCACCCTCACCCTAGTTGTAGAGATGCAGACAACTTTACCCTGAACGATGCGTTAAGCAGCCACACATGCCGACACGTACGGGTACTTTATGAGCTTTAAAATCCAAATCCTGTTCACCTCCAGCTTGTTGACAGCCAGTCGGATGCCAGCTACCCTGTTGTGGTTGGCCAGGACTTCCACGGGGCTCCGAAAGAAGCGGAAGCCCCAGATGCGGGAGGCCTTGATCCGTCTTTCCTGCTCCTTCTCCCCCGGTTTCTCCAGGGCTGTCTTCAGCATCAGCTCTGTCAGACGCTTCCTGGGCCTCGGCAAATCTGACACAGCAGAGACATTTTTAATCTGTCTGCTTTGCTTTCATTTAAAACTTCTAATCATTTATCTTAGATTTAAAGGTACAACCATCTACACACACACACACACACACACACACACACACACTCAATTTGTCATCAGTGACCTTTGATGAAGACAAATGTTTTGAACAAAGTATGACTTGAGTTCACACTGACTTCTGATCTGACTAAGTCTAGCTACAAGCGTGACGCTTTCATGCTTACATTTGTGTACGTGTGCACAAAAATACCCGGCTCTGTCATTTTTAACAGATATAGAAAAAGTGTGTAGATGTGCAGACACCAAGTGACGACAATCACAAGCAAAAATGCCGACACAGCAACACATTTCACACAAAAATATTTAAAGCTGCTGGTCTTCAGAAATTTCCTGTAACAGCACTTTGTTGGTCTGCTGCTGTGACCACAGACTTGTTAGCACAGCAGCACACGTTCAGCAGCACTGACGATACAGACTCTAACCACCAGCTTTGAATACCATCCTTCACTTAAAGCTTATCACTCACAATAGACACGAGATCAAGGTTCTCGCAATAACTCAGGCGAAAAGCAAGGCTACTGCTACAAGCCTGAACATGCTCTGCACAATCTGTCAGCCCTGTGTTTCTCTAGCAAGGACAAGGACCTGTCAGAAGGCCACATGGATCGTGCATAGTGATGCAAAACACAGAAACTCTTTTCCTAATCTGCAGTTTCTTACACCAGCAGAAGACTTTTTGATCTCCAGGCAGCAGCTATCTTGACTGGTTTTGCAGTTTCCATTCACTTCACAGTAAAAGACCTATAGTTTCAATAGGGTACGTCTCAGCTGGTAACCACAGCATACATTTCTTCCTTCCTTGTGACATTTCCAACGGTCTCTGCATTAGTCAGACACTTCTTGTGAACTCACATTTCCAACACATGTAATCCTACAAGTTCTTTCTGTAGTTACTGAAAAAACACACTTTCCGACATCAACTCAAAATGAAAAACACTCAAAACTGTAAACACTGAAGCCCAGAGAAGATGGAAAATTCTGAGTAAGTTGCACGTTGTCGAGCTCAGCATTAGAGCAGACTGATGAAACAGTACAAAGGAAGTGTCAAAAATACTGCAATGAACTTTCCTGTCATCTCTTACCTTTAAGAGCCTCTGTAACGCCCTCAAAATCAGCTGCTACCATCTCGGGTCTGGTGGTCGGCAGGTTCACCATTTCTCTGAGCTCCTGCAGACAAGAGGAACAAAGCAGGGGTCAGATAAATAAAGCATTCTTTAAAATTTTGAAGCATACAGTAGTTAAGAAGTTTGATCAGTTTACTAGTTGGATCATACTTTCTCAGTTTTGGCTATTATTTCTATCAGTTCTGGTAAAACTCTACTTACAACTTTAACGACTGACACATTAAAAATCACACAAGTCAACAGATATTACAGAGTTTAGCTACGTTACCGACCCAATCTTTCAATCAGGTACCACACAAAGCACTTCTTTAGTTACAGAAGGCAATGTGGCACGACTGTGGAGCTGCTTAACTCAGATTAAATTCATTTGGTTTGATGCTGATCTTGCTTTTGTCATCATAAACAAACAACACTGCACACACTTCCCCTCAACCTACGTGGTAACACCGTTAAGCCACATGGTATCATGAAAACTTGTTGGCAAGCAGGCGGAGAAGTTGAAATAACTAGAACAGTGGTTCAGTGGTAAGCACGGTCACCTCTTAGCAAGCACGATCTGGGTTTGTGTGTGGCCTCCATGTAGGTTAGGTTAAATTGTGACTCTATGTTGCCTATAGGTGTGGATGACTGAGCAGCTCTCTGTTTTTATGTATCTGCTATCAACTGGTGATCTGTAAAGGGTGCATCCTGCCTCTCGCCAAATGTCAGCAGGGATAGGATCCAGCCCCCCTGTGAACCCTCTTAAATATAGAAGGTACAGCTAATGGGTGGACAGTTAGATTGAACAGATAGACAGTTGAAATGATTATTCCAAAAACTACTGACTGAAAGTGATGTATAAATTCAAAATCATTTTCTACAAATGATCAATTAAAGTTTGTTAAAAATAATTAGATAAAAGTAATGAACAAGCAGTTAAATAGTTACCCTAAACGAATATATAAAGAGTTAAAATGATTAGTTAAAAGTAATAGATTTAAAGCTGAAAGTCATGGACAAATATCAAAATATTTAACTAAAATCAATAAATAAATAGTCAAAATTAGCTAAGAGCACTGAATAAACAGTTAAAATTAGCTCAAGGCAAAGAATAAATATCTAAATAAATATTCACAAGAAATGGATAAATATCTAAACAACTAGCCAAAAGTAATGGATAAAAAGCTAAATAATTAGCTAAACCTGAAGGATAAACACCTTAAATTAGCTGGAAAAAAAACTAAAGTTGAACTTTTTTAAAAGTTGAAATAAGTCAAAACAGTTAGCTACAAGTGATGGACAAAAAGTTCAAATTAGCCAGGACTGACCAATAAAAAGTAGAAAAATAATTCACTAAAAGTAACTAATAAACAAATAAATAGCCATAACAAATGTATAAACAGTTGAAATCATGAGCTAAAAACAACAACTAAAGAGTTAAAAGTGTTTGTTAGTAACAGACTAATGCATTAAATGGTCAGCTTCTGCCATTCTATGTGGTATCTTTAGCAAATATGACAGAAGTGAACTAACCACTGACAGTTCAGTATCCACTACTGAAGCGTTGATCACCATCCATTTTGAAACCAGACATTTGTGCTACAGTTGAAACCAGAAGTTTACATACACTGTATGAGAAGACGTAAGACATAAAACCTTTTTTTTTCGCTGTCTGACATTAAATGTGACTAAACTTTTCCTGTTTTAGGTCAGTTAGGATTACAAAAATTATGCTAAATGCCAGAAAAATGAGAGAGAGATTTTTTTAAAGAACATTTTTCCCTATTTTCTTCAAAGTCAGAAGTTTACATAAACTAAGATCACTATGCCGTCAAACTATTTGGGAAAGCCCAGATGATGATGTCATGGCTTCTCATACAGTGTATGTAAACTTCTGGTTTCAACTGTATTAAGGCGACAGAAGTGAAGGTTAAGCAAGGAAGTGGTTACAGCTTAGAGATATTTCCGTCCATTTAAAGGGTAGAATATCTTGTCTCTCCTTGAACACGGACCTTAATCGTGCACGCTATCTGCATAGGTCCTCTCCTGCCAACTATCAATACTCTGCGGACTTGGCTCTCTGCTAGTGCCTCCAGGGCCGGCTGGGTGATGTCAGTTTTCTGCAGAAAAACGAGACATTGTTTTAGTTACAGTTGTTGCAATACGAAAAAAGTGGATTTGTTATGCAGATGTTATGTCTATTTACAGTGATTTCTGTCTTTATATTCTATATTTTCTGGTGCACACATGCGCACAATTATGTAAAGTTTTGTTATTCAGCAATAAAAATATGCTGTTGCCACACTTCTGTTTCCTTAAATTTCCAGGGGTCACGGTGAAGGTTCTGTTGATGTAACGCTCTTCCTCATCTTACAAACGAGTTGCTCTTCTTTGTATTCCAAACAAAACACTGCATGCTGCAACACTACCACAATACCAGGATGTGTATTTAGCAGGCAGTCATGTCATCATAAATCTTTATTAATTACTCATGACTTTTGGGTTCTTCAGACATTAAAACATATTCGTATAAACTGACAGATTTATCACTTTTGAGAAACAAGTTCAGCTCAAGTTCAAGTTTTTTCCACGCAAGTAGGCCACATGTTATAAATGACTTACTTAACCTACTAAAGTTTATTCCTGTCCTTGAAAACAGTAATCAAGATGTGCTTACTAACTTTTTTTGGGATCTCACAGTATTTATTTTGTGCAAACGCATAAAGAGTCAGAGACATAACATGGCTGCTTGATGCTGGCATGATCTGACAATGCATCTGTTGGTTAAAGCAGCATCGTTTTTCCTCATAACTCTATCTATCCCAAACGACAATGATGTTATCGGATATAAATACTGGAATAAATCTGCGTTCTCACACATCTTGGATCTCATACCATTCAACACTTGCTGATTGAAATCTCATCTCTTCTCACCTCGATCTCTTTTTGTTAGTCACTCACTGCTATATTTTTAACCTAATCTGTGTGTTCCTTACCTTCAAAATGTCGACAGGAGATAGCAGGATTCTTGCTACATCCAAGGCCACGTTACCTTGACCCAGAATGACTGCTGTTTCACAACTCAAGTCTGGACTCAGCTGAGATAGGCAACAGGCGATAAAGAATCACAAAGGATTTAAAAACAAAACAGAAAGCAGTAACAATCTTTCACATGTTGTCAACTTTTTAAATTTTTTTTTTCATACATGGCAACATGTACTCCATTTACAGGAAGCATGGTTTGTTGGACACATATAAAGCATACCTCTCGACAGTTGGGCAGCCCATTGTACCAGCCCACAAAGTCTTTGGCAGAGTACACTCCAGCCAAGTCTTCCCCTGGCACTCCCATACTCCTGTTTCCCTCTGCACCATAACTCTGCCATTAAATGTACAAAAAAATGCACAGAGATCGTTATGCAATTAGATTTCAAGGTGATGTGAAGGTACAGGTGCAGCAGAGGGTTTTCATGATCTTACCAGCACCACTGCATGGTAGGCTTGTTGCAGCTCGTCGATGCTCACATCTTTACCCACATTGACGTTGCCGTAGAAACTGCAGCGTGAATGTTTGGCTGTTTGTGTGAATGTGTTGATGACATTCTGAGGAGAAAAGATCGGAATTATTAACATTTAGTTTGCAATAATGCATAGCATGTGGCGGCATGAGTTTGTTATGGGAACACTATTGATCTCAGGTAAGTTCTTAGCTTATAAGGAAGTTTCTCAGTGCTTTGTGCATACTTCAGAGGCTTCAGACTGACTGCATAGAAAAGTGAAGTTTTCCTTTTAATTTTGCAAACAGTTGACAGTTTCCCTATTTACCAACTGGCTTAATGGTCTTTTGCTGCGATATATATTGCATTATGGAAAAAAAACATACAGAAATTTTCATCAGATTACTAGAATAACTATTTGGAGAGAGTTAAATATTGTAAAATGTTTGGGGTGATTTTGTACGGAAGTGCATCAGCATCAAAAATAAAAATACACTTTAAAAAATGTGAAAAAAGCCCCAACTCTTGGCTTAAATTCATTTTATCGCTCTGACGTCAAAGCAACACTTTCTCTATTTGAATTCTTTCCTTTGCACATGAATCGCGAGGTGAAAAGATAACAATCTCTTCTGTGTACGGTATGTGAAACTACCTGCCAGTTAGCACAAATGCCAGAAACAGGCTGAAACTGTTATTCAGGCTCTGTCTGAAGTTCTGCAGTCAAAGTGATACTTTCCCAATTTGAAGTCTTTGTTGTGCACATGAATCTCTAGTAGAAAACTAGCTGAGAGTTAAATGAGACAGTCTTTTTTCTTATGTGAAGCTAAAATTAGCTGCCAGTTAGCCTAGCTTAGCAGGAATGCCAGAGACAGACTGAAGTGGCTTGTCTGACTTAGTCCAAAATTGAAAAAGCACACCTGTTAGTAACTAGAAAACACACTTATGAACACGTTGTATTTCAGTTGTTCACACACGCAGAAATGCAAAAACAAGATGTGTTTTACTGGGAGTTATGCTAACCACCTGTGTCCGCCAACACGTGATTTAACTACAATTGAAGTTGGGAATATACAAACTGAAGTTTGTCAAGAAACAATAACCTGTTCAAGGATGTACACTAGCGAGCTTTAAACATGTCGAAAGGTGTATTTTTCTTTTTACTTGAATAACTGTTTCCCCCCTCTGTGGTCTTTATGCTAAGCTAGGCTAACCACATTAGCCTAAATAGAGCTGCAGTGGTTCGCTGATCATGTTGTTGATTGAGGAAATTATTCTGTAACTATTTTCTAAAATGGAGTAACTGTGGGTTACTGTATATGTGGAAATTTCCTGAGCTTCGAAGTAGATATTCAGACTGACACAGAAAATCACAACCACATGCCAGACCACCATGTCACCACATGTGATGAAACACTTTTTGTAACTTACACTTTGTTGTCACACTTAAACACAATTTTTCAATTCAAAACATCTCTTGGACTAGAAGGTTCTCTTTGTATTTGGCTTGCTTGTAGGATTAAGTAACTTCTTTCTTATTACTGGTGCCAGGCAGTTTTCCCACAGGCTGCGTGAACAGGCTTGTCTGCGGCATTGGCTGAATTTCCTTTTCCTCATTGATGTCAACTGCCAAAAGTCAGTGAGCACACACTGCATCTTATCTTATAACTGGTGAGTAAAATATTGGTCATGAACCAAAAATTTTAGAAAAGAAAAAACAAAAAAGGTGGTAAATAGCTTCAGACAATGATCTATTCTCATGACATCCCACAATGAACACACACCTTGACTTCAGGATGATCAGGTGCCACTCCGAACCTAACCAGGCCAAAGGGTACAGGCAGCCTCTCGTAAACGTCCACTTCAACATTTTGACGAGCCTGGAGGAGAAAACAAGCGTAAAATGTGAAACGGAAATCTTTTGATTATAACTTGCAAATATGCAACGGCCGGAAAAATCTGTCCCTTTATAGCATTGTGTTGGTTTATAGGGTTGTTTTTTTGGTACAGAGAAGTGTTTAGCTGCACCCAAAGAGGCTTTTGGCAGGGCCAAAGGGAAATTATAAGAACTGGGAATGTTTTTTTAAATCAGTGTTGTTCATTTCGGTTTCATTTCTAAAGAACGGATGAGCAATAGAAACTTTAACATCACAGAAAAATAAAAAAAAATGCTTTTGTTTGGGGGAAATACCACGGTGTTTGTGCACTCCTGTCACACCGACTCATTCTCACAGGAGCCTGCAGAGCTACAAATTCCCATTGATATTTTCACTCTCAAAATCACGACAGAGAAGCTTCACCAGATATCCCCACAGCAACACTAATTTACATACTCTACATTCAGAATACACAACACATTAACACAGAAACAAATGACTGATATACATCGTTTTTAGTATCCTACTGATATTCTATGTTCACAAAAATGTAAATTATTTGTCCTTCATCTGATAGTTGGCATAGCTTTCCTGACGGTTTCATTATCTAGTATCAACTGTACGCATGCCCACATGCAGTGTCACCTGAATCCCCTCAAGTTATTTGGAACAGTACAATATTGTGGGATGACGCTTCACCTTCGTATTGAACAAAAGTTTGTTTTCTGTCTTTTCAACTGGCCAGAACCCAGCTGCAGTATGGTGGTGCAGAGAAGCAGCTCACAAGCTGGTGTGACATATGTGTTTATATCTGTGCACTGTACCTGTTTACAGTCTCACAGAGCTGCTAAAGAGATAAAACATTACTAATACAGGTTAAATTTAAAAAAAACAACAACAAAAAATTTAAGAATGATCTTGGAAAGAACCTGTACTTTTAAGTTACATAGAAAAAGCAAGGTGGCTGATCTGGCTTTGCTCAGCTTGCATTCTGCTGTGTTTTGAGTTATAGCTCAATAAGATGCATCAAACAAAAATAATACAGCCATTATTATACATCCAGTAAACTTTCAAATGATAATTTAAGTTTTAAAATATGTTTCCTTCATTTGTTTGCATGTATACGTCCACACTTGCTTTATTCTATGCTGATTCACTAGAAACATCTATCTTGCGTGTGTATGTGTGTATAAAGGTCTTGGCGTGTACAAGCGTACCGTAATGACTCAAAAGTACCATCACAGTCTCCAGGTTGTTTCCTGTTCTACGTACAGCTGGCCTTTTGGTGTGAGCAACATGTGAGCAAATACTGAAAACAGCACCGAAAGGCTTTAACAGTTCCGATGTAACAGTGGTGTTACGTATTTAGTGAGGAGGGACACACCCATTTGTCTGCCTGTCTTTCTGAGCGCTCATATTTTTTTTTAATGATGGTGTCCGGGCTTGGAGAGGAAGCTATTCAAATCTGATTATTTGTTAACAGCAGGTATGTCGACTTAGTTATTAAAAGCATATACAAAGGTGGAAAAAAAGTCAAAAAAGAGTAATAATAAAAGACCAGCAAACTGCTACTTTATTACTACATCAAAGAAAGAGTTGATGGTAAGTTTATGATGAGGAAGATGTCTTAAATGCACAAGAGATAGAACCAAGTGGCACCTCCAGTGAAAAGTCATTTCATTGGCCAACGATCTTAACAGATCTAACAAGTCAAATTCATACACTGAAACTCCTATGTCCAAGTTTCTGTGAATACAGTGTCAACTACAAGTGAAAGCATCATAAGACGACTGGGAGGACTACGTGCAGCAGCAGCAGCTAGTCAGTCCCATCTAGAAAACATTACAGAGGGTAGAAAAGACGGTTTGTGCGGTTAGTTGACTAAGGCGACACCCAGACCTCAACGTGTTAACAGGAGCTGAAGTTGAGTCTGTTGCTCCCAGCTATTTGTCGGAGTCTTTGGTTTCAGTTTAATAAATATCTGCAGCATTAAACAGCAGCAGGATCCATGTGATTTAAGCAAGAGAAGGGTCTGCATTTATTCATAACATGATGAAGCGGGAACTTCATTAATTACGGAAATCACAAATTTTCTCAGGATCGGTCAAGATATACTAGTAAATGACACCATGTACATTCCTCCACCTCAGACAGGTGAGCAGTCACACACACTGTCACAGTTGAGAAGCTACAGCTCAATCATCACACTGGTGCATCATGAGCTTCGTCACAGACCGCCCAACCCATAGATATATATGGTCCGACCTAGATGACTGAGAATCTTGACAGACATTAGAAATTCCATGTTTTCTTGTCTGTCTGTTTGAGTCATGTTACATGAGTCATGATACACACAGCAGTTAGTACTTGATTGCATAACCATTGTTTTTGACGCGTCTTGGCATGATCTCCACCAGCTTCTGACATTGTTCTGTTGTCACAGCAGCCCATTCCAACAAATTTGCTTTGTTTTTGGGCTTGTGGTTCTCCATTTTGCGTTTGATGATTTTCCACAGGTTTTCAATTGGATTTAGATCTGGTGATTGAGCAGGCCAAGGCATGGTTCCAATGTTCTGTTCTACATCCAGACTTTAACTGACCTTGCCGTGTGGCAAGGGGCATTGTCTTGTTGGAAAATCCAGTCATTCAAGGCAGGAAAGAGTTTTCCAGCTGATGGAAGAAGACTGTTTTCACGAGAAGCCCTGTACATGACCTGGTTCATTCACCCTTCACACAATTGTATTTCCCTTCCACCCATACTGAAACAACCCCAAATCATCACTGATCCACCCCCATGTTTTACTGCAGGGGCAAGACTGTCTTGTCTGACCACGATTGCCCTGCATGACTTCAGGTCAGCTTCAAGAAGTTGGTTTGGAACTGCCCTTGCCGAACAAGTCACATTTCTCGACAGTGCCCACTCATTTTTAAGGTCCCTGGAGGTATGACAACAATTCCTGACACAGGACCAGATGTGTGCACGGTCATCTTGTGGGGCAGAAAGACTTTTCCTGCCGTGACCAACGTGCAATTTGGTAGCACCATGTTGGGCTTGTTTTTCTTGGTGTAATGAATGGCTGTCTTGGAGATCTTCAGTTTTCTCGCTACCTGTCTCTCACTCGTGCCAATTTCCAGCAGTGCCAAGATGGCTGCCTTTGTGGCTTCACATAATTCTTTTGTTTTAGGCATTATGTGAGAGCTGACAACTCCAGAGTTGTGCTCCAGCTTAAATGTAAGCAGGACACCACTCTAGGCCTTTGCATGTGCAGTGCTGCTTATGACATGAAATGACCTCTTATATACCCGGGAATACAATCAAGCTTAAGCATGTCAAATAGGACATAAAGTATTACGTAATCAGCTGCATTTTTTTGTCGTGTTCATTGTATTCTTCAGGCAATATACCTTTAGTAGTACCAGGGATTAAAATGAACAAGAAATAGAAGACAACAAGGGTGGTGTAATAATTTTTTCCATGACTGTATTTGCAGCAGTGGCATTATTGTGTGTATGGATGCAAAATACAGGATGGCCTCACTCGTCAAAAAAAATCACCAAAATACTGCAACAAGTAGGTTAGTAACAATGAAAACACACTTTATTAAACCATAAGTGCCTGCTACAATCTAAAAATGTTCAGGGTTTAGGAAATCATAAATAAACTGGACGTGTCGCCTATGAGGGAACTTTTTCCCTTCAGATACTCTGCAGCATGTAGCATCTTCTCCTGCATTATACTCAACAGTAGTAGTCATCAAAATAACAATGATGTTAATTGTACTTGTACAAGTCTAAACACAGTAGATTTTGAGAAACATCGATCCATCCATCATCTATACACCGCTTAATCCTCACTAGGGTCGCGGGGGGCTGGAGTCTATCCCAGCTGACTTAGGGTGAAGGCAGGGGACACCCTGGACAGGTCGCCAGTCTATCACAGGGCTACACTTAGAGACAGACAACCAAGCACACTCACATTCACACCTATGGACAATTTAGAATCACCAATTAACCTCAACATGTTTTTGGACTGTGTGGGAGGAAGCCGGAGAACCCACGCTGCACAGGGAGAACATGCAAACTCCGTATAGAAAGATCCCGGGTGTCCTCACCGGGACAGGAACCAAGGATCTTCTAGCTGCAAGGTGACGGGACTAACCACCCAGCCACCGCCCAGCCCTTCTCAGAAACATTAACTGAGAGAAAAAAAAAAACCTAAGTACATCACGATGCCATTTCCAAGCCCTCGTATTGTTTTCAAACTACAGCAGAATAAAAGAATTCCTAAAAGTTTTTGTGTGCCACCCCAAGAGATTCAATGGCCTCATCTGGACACCTCTAAATATCGACAGTTTTAAAAACAAACTGAAAAACTTGCTTAAGGATACTCAGAACTGCAACCATTAATGTCTTTCTAATTTGTATTGTGTGTGAGTGTTCGTACGTGCTTTTAAGAGTGTGTGTAATGTTGTGTTTCACTGTGTCATGTATTTTATAGTCCAGCTTTTTTGTGACATTCTAATATTGTGATGTTTTCATTGTGACCGGCCAAGGGACTGCAGATGGACATTAGCTTAAAGCTAACTCCAGTGTAATACATCAAATGGCAGCATTTATGTTTAACATTGTACATGGTCCCTTTTTAAATAAAGTGATTCATAATAATACTATCTCTGGAGATGCCACTGATATGAGATCATACACCTGTTAGGATTTTTACACAGAATTACATATATATGGCAGTTTATCCACATGAGCCACACTAATTCCCTGCATTCTTGTACAACATGAAATTAAGAAGTACACACCTTGAGTATATGCTGTGCTGTGTAGAAGCCTGCTGGACCACTTCCAACAATACACACCTTTGGATTAGAAGAAGAATAACAAGCCTTTCCACACCTACTGATACCTGCAGAACCAGAGGGAGGATAAAGCAGAGATGCACACCCCATTAGGAGGTACAGTAAAATAGAAAGTTGTAGTAAATCAGTGTAGTGTATTTCCCCAGGCCATGGAAGGCTAGGTTTCCCCCCTACTACCACAACCAGGCATTGAGTTGAGCAGTATTATATTTTGTTAATATAAGAGCTTCTTGGTACACGGTGTAGGAGCCGAAAAACTGAGTGAGGTCAGTTTGTTAAAGTTTACACCTAACTTCCAGCACGAGTGCACCTTTCTCAATAAACAACTCGGACGACTGTGAAATTAGCAAAGTTTTGTATCGAGTTTGGTGCGTGTATGTTAATTACAGCAGCGTTAACACGTCCAGGTGTCTCACCTTGGTGAAGTCTCCATCTGCTTCCACCTGAAGCCCACAGCTTCAGCAGGTTATGACCGCTCATATTTCACTCCTCCTCTGGCTACGGACGAGCTGCTTGGCTTTAAACCAATTAATTAATAGTTATTCCCTCCGTGTAGTTTCCCTGGTGTTTGGGAACCAGCTCCGCATCGCTGCCTCGTCTCTGAGCTTTGGACACTGAGCTCTGAGCGGACGGAGATCAAAAGTCAAGGAGGAGAGAGTTTATCTCTGCTGGGAGCCGCCTGCCCGCAGCTAAAGCTAACAGTTAGCTGCAGCTAGCCGCTCCGAGCTGCCTTTATTTATTTAACACGAATCAACTTTATCCCCCAGTTACAGGACTGTTATCATAACAGACCGGTTTCAAGGCTGCACTCTGTGTTACACTCACAACGGTCCGTGGAAAACTCACACTTCGGTACGAAGGTTCCACTTGAACAGAGCACAGCTACCACTGACTAGCAAACTAAGTTATATTTATCAAACACAGAGGCAACACACTCCAGACTTGTTCTCAGCTAACAAATCTCTGATATATTTTGAGCCCGGACAATTCAGAAACTTACAGACAATAATTAGGGCTTTAAATTCACTTCAAATTGAACAGGACACCAGTGCAGACAGTGTAAGCTTTATTATCAACTAAATAAAACCAGGAAATCATGTGATAGCCAGCCTGTCTGACATCAAAGAGCTTGTTCAAATATTTTGTCTGGGGCCTTTCTGTGTACCTGGATTAAACGCTTAGCTGGAATAAATGGACAGTTCAGTCTTTATCCTAAAATGCTTGGTTCTTCTAAACCCTTGCTGGACTCATTGTTAATGTTGTTGTAAGGTCACATCTACAGATTTATTCTTTCTGGGCAAGATTAGACAACAGATGTAACCCTCTGAACTCCAGGCAGTTTCTGGGTGTGTTCTTTGCTCCTGTTTCATTTTTAGTTACCTTGAGCTTTTTTTTTTTTAACCTCTATGAAAACAGCACAACTATGGCTTGATGTTGAGCAAACTCTGTGCAGCATGATAGATAGATAGATAGATAGATAGATAGATAGATAGATAGATAGATAGATAGATAGACAGCCAGATAGATAGATAGATAGATAGATAGATAGATAGATAGATAGATAGATAGATAGATAGAATTTTTCAGTGTTACAGCAGCAGATGCAGCAGATAGAAAAACATAGTGCACAGATATAAACAAATCATCTCGCTTTTTCTCGTATCTCTCTAATAGAATCTAAAATAATATGAACCCTCCCTTTCTCTATTCCTCCAATCATAGAGTTGCTGATCATGGTTTTCATATCAATATCTATCGACACGTGTGAGTCACAACATTCCAACCACCTGGCTAACATTGTAACATTGTGCTGCCAAAACAGCTCTAACTGCCACATCTGATAACAGATCCTTTGGGTTGAGGGGTGAGGCCTCCACAGATTGGAGGCCATTTTAACAGTTTGGGCTTTTGGTCATGTTCCTCGAGCCATTCCAGAGCAGTTTTTGAGGTTCGGATGTCAGCATTGCCCTGCTAATGGCTGCTGACGTCTGGGTTTGCTGTTGCCTTTGGTGGATCTGCTTGGTCTGCTGTTTATGTGAGAGGTCGGCGATGAGTCAACGTAACCCCAGGCATCCCAGCAGAGCATTCAGACAAGATGATCAATGTTATACAATTCACCTGTCAGTGGGTTTGATATTGTGACTAATCAGTTACGGACTCTAGTCAGTAAACCACATGATGATCTCAAATGATTCTTGCTGTTTGAATCAAATTCAGAGCTGAACAAATCAGTCAGTTGATCTTGGGTCTTTTAATTGACACTTACAGAGACTGGGTCCCAGGATAACAGAACATCAGTGCATTAGCCTGAACAATGCAAAAGGATAAAAAAAAAAAAGTATATTACTTATTGACTGATTCTTTTTATATTTCATAAAATTTTTCTACATTTTCCTTGTTTTTCTATATATTTATTTCCAGTATGTTATTTGTTCAGAAAGAGACAAGTCACGTGCAACTTTTTATTCTACATTATACAACAACAATAAAACTGATTCTAGTTCTTTTAAATGAGTATTGAAAAACTAAAAGAACAACAAGAACTTTAGAAGCTTAGATTTGATGTACATTTTAAATCAGGCAGTGGGGTACATTTGTTGGAAAGCGACACATCTCTTTACTGGACATGAAAGAAGTAAAAACAAAGAGGTCAAGCCAAAGTGCGGTGCATCACAAAAAATAGAAAAATTGCTTGCTTTGCAGTTTTTTCTTCACCTAGCACGGCTCACATACATCACACCTGTACACCCCACATCAGCCAGGATGTGGTAGCTCAGTCACTTTTCTGCAAACAAAACAAATTTGTATATGAAAGGAAATGACAGGCAGCACAGCACAAGGCGAGCTGTTGGCTGCATAGATCAGTATCAAGATAGAAACCCCTCTGCGTGATGGATTTACCACAAAGATGTTTTTTTACAGCTTTTTACAAAGAATGATCACATCTTATCATCTGCTTCGCATCAGATCTCAGCTTTACAAAATTCCTCTGAAATCTGAATGGCTTGAAGATGTGATTAGGTAAGGAGACAGTTGAACATGCTGCTGAGGACAGACGTGCTGAGGCCTGTCTGGTGCTGGTGGCTCTGCAGCTCTGCCAGGCCTGAAGTGCTTTTTAAACTGTAAACACATTAAAAACATTTATTAGAACATTCACGTAAATTCTTAGTTTTCGCAGGACTACGAGAGCAGGTCCGTCTGCACTTACTCGTCTGCACCTCCAAATCAGTGCCGCAATGAAGAGCGACAAAACGACGATAAAAGCTGTAATGCTCAATAAAATCAAGGTGAAATCCCAGATGGGCTCCCTGCATTGCTCTTTGGGGCCAGTCTCTGTGAGAAAAGAAGGCAGACCACGTGGAAAAAGTGACATATATGTACAGCGTTTTGATGTGATTGGACTGTGTGAACTGTGATTCGTCTCACCACTGACGATGATGACGGTGCCGTTGCTGGACACCGTTTGTTTCTTGCTCAATTCAAAGTAAGTCCAGCTGCAGTAATACAAGTTGGTGTCCTCCAGCTCCAGCAGAGACAGCTGCATGGTGAACCCATAACCCCCTTTGATCTGCTGGTCTGGAGTTACAACGATTCGGCCTGCAAAGTCTTCATTTATGGTATTCTTGGTGATTAGTCCTCCCTTCAAGGACAAGTACACAATGTCTTTGTTGCTGTGGAAACGTCTGTGCAGGTAAACCCCCATCGGGTCGGACAAAGACGTGGAGCATGTGATCTCAGCAGATGAGTTGACTCTCTTGTATGAGGTGGATGCTGGGTTTTGAGAAGCTGTGGTGGAAAGATGGATTGTTATGGACTGCTTCACTTCAATAATAATGCAGGAAAACCAGTTATGTAGGTAACCACTTCCAGCATAGGCACAGAATCGATGGGAGGCAGAGAAAATCTTCTGTTCAAAATTTTAACATATATTTGACTCCTCTGTTTATTTTCGTAAAAATTGCTATAAGATTACTTAAAGGCACAACAACAGACACTTCCAGCAGTGAGGACGTCTTCAAGATTGGGCTTGTTTTTCTCTGAGAA